TTATTACTGTATGGTTGACAATAAACATTTTTTTCTTAGAATGAATCTTACAAGAGTAATTAACCAAGTTACAGTTTTAATACTAAGTGACTAGTTATTACGTATTAGTATTATCCTCAAAAACTGCATCATAATCATAATGTGCAACGTCGTCTGTTACTTGTCGCTTGTTACACTCAGAACCCCTTCCTCACCTGTATAATATTATTAAAGTATGATTTTTTAATTGTGACAAAAAGTATGATTTTTTAAAAAAACCACAATTTACAAACACTTCCTCTTTCAAAAATATGTTCTGAAAAAACATTTGTTCAAAAATGTACTTTTATGTTTACAATGTATTTTTTATAGAAAATATTAGCTAATTAGAACACATTCAACTTGAGTTTATCAAGTAATAATAACAAACTATGAACTGTATTTATTAGATTTTTACTCCCTCCGTTTCAGATTATTTGTCATTCTAGGTTTTTACACACAGATTAAGGAAACATTTAATTTTACATATTTTCAATATAAAAACACAATTACCAATACACCTAACCACTTTTCAACCAATAGAAATATAATATCATATAAACATAATAAATTTTGTCTCGAAGCTCTAAAACGACACTTATTTTGAAACAAAATTTTTCATCTAGAATGACATCTAATTCGAAACGGAGAGAGTATTAGTTTAAAATTATAAAAAGTTGATGATCAAAGAAATTAATGTATTGATAATCATCTTTAATATATTTTTAATGTGTTAATATTCCAAAACATACATTATTTTATAACATACCGAATATTGTTGTAGTTTCTTCTTCAATCCAATATAAAATATGCTAACTAACACTCAAGCACATTTATCCATAGATAAAACTACGGTCTCTCAACTAGTATAGTGAATCCTTCAACCACTAAACAACTACATAATATATCTTTGAGCAAATGCACCTTTCATAATCTCAGCCTCTTTTGCGGTCAGTGCTGCTGAGAATGCAAACATAACGTGTTTGTAGCAATACAATAAAGCTTTTTCTGGAGACATAATGAAAAAAAAAAAGAGACAAACCAAATATATTGGATTCCTCATGCATGGTTTTGCTTAAATACCTTCAAATGAACTCGTAAATATTTACCTTCCCTGAATCACCTTTTCGAGAAGTTGTTCGTATAATCGTATTTCTTGCAGTCATTATGATACAACGCAGAATCAGCATCGACCACATAAAACTGTGTATCATATTCGACAAAAAAAGGAATATGTGCTTTGAGGATTAGTATTCGAGAAGAAAATGATATAAAAAATATGTTATAATTGTACCTTGAGCTGCGAATTGTAGGGAGATTGCGCCAACGTTCTGCAGCTTACGACACAAATGCAAAATGTGAATAAAACAAACAATACTCGAGAAACCATCTCAGCAAAAAAATGCTAAGAAAACTATTGAGAAATTACAGGATCTAGTGAATATGATAGAATGAATTATATTTGTGAACATATAATATTGGTGAAAACCTGAAAAATGAAAACGTTGTGGAGTGAAGTTATTAGTCTCGACCTTTTTTTGTTTTTGTTTTTTCCTTTTAGTAAACTATAACTATATAACTAACTTAGTCTCGACTCTCGACCGTTGTTAATCGACTTTTTAAATATCCCGTTTAATTATGAACGCAAAATTAGAATAAAATCTCATAATCACCATTAATAAGATGCAAGCTTTTTTTTTCCTTCAACACTGGTCAAATCAGTGAAAGCCACTTAGAAGTCAGACCATGATATATGATTTATATATGACTTTGCATTACATGCAAAATTAAATCCAAGTCAAGAGACCTATAAGGAGTACTTGCGAGTCAAGAAACCTATTTCTTTCACTTTCAAATTTTGACTTATCTTTTTCCTTTCAGCTCCAACTCTACCTTGAAAAAATTATCTTCCAAACTCGTTGCAACTGTTATGACACAAATTTCCTTACTCAGGTGTTCGTAAGTCGTAAGAACGCTCATGAGACACAATTTTCGTGCATCAATCAGAACTGGATGATTCAACCCCTGAAAATAATATACTTGATTGATTGCATCCTCTGTTGACTCCAAGGCTTTATGTTGTGGACAAAACGAAACCTCTCTACCATTCTTTAGTATGATTGAGCCCCAACGTTCTTGCTGCCGTTGTAGTTTTCAAGAGTAAAGATTACTTCTTACCGACTCAAGATCCTTACCTTCAGAGAAAATCTTGTTTCATTTCCTTTTTTAACAAACTAAAGGTTTATATCAGTGTGTCAATGATAGTGTACATCTTCTTTTGTAATTTAGATTCTCATTCGATTTAGATGTTGGTTAACTGAAGATATCACATAACACTTTCAAGCAGGAAAGGACAAACACACGACGTCGTATAATGAGATTCCTAAGTTTGATGGTTAATGGGCCATGTATTAGTCCAATAATGTGGCAACAGCCCATTATCGATTAAGTTAACAAAAAAACAGTTACTGCTTCTTCCAAAATTGGCCATTGTTGTGGGTGCGAAGCTACTAAAATCAAAATAATTTGGGATGATTCGACAATGTTTTTTTTTTTGGTAAAATTGATTCGACAATGTTTCATAACTTAAAATTTTTATGTGAAACAATTATTAATAGTGATGTGCTTAGAGTATATACTATATTTGTTCTGAATACGGTGGAAGCAAATGCCTTACTAGTCATATTTTTTTCCTGTTTTTGTTCATAATGTTAACAGCAATTTTATACGAAATCTATAGTTGTGACACACTACACGTACGTTGAGGTCTAAATGAGCCCACACATACAGTGACAAATAGTATTAATGTCTCTTCTTTTTTAACTTTCTTGATCCTAAAGTTCTTTTCTCTTGGGGTGAAATATCGTGAAGGGTTTTGGTTCATTCTTTCCAACTCACCTCCACGTTTCTCATCTCTAGGCTTTTTCAACAAAAGATCTTTACAGATACAAAGTTACAAGAATTTTTAATAAGTTGGATAAGATGTATCATAAGATAAGAAAGTAAATTGATAGATTTTAGGTGATTAAAGACAAATACTGCGGGTGTTGGATTTTGCATCGGCTACTCCCTATAGCCTCACGTTTCATGTGATGTATATTTGCTTTGGTAAAGTGATATATATACTTTATTTGTTACAAAATTAATTCATTTATAGACTATACAGAAAAAAGTGTTTGATAAATGCAGAAATAAATTGAATGTTCAAAATATATGTAACTAAGAAGAGAAAGTTTTTATTGTCAAAAATATAGAGGAATCTCAAGATCACAGATCACTTGGTTTTTATCATGTCAACATTCTTCGGAAATTTGTAAACCTTTTACCTCAAAGCTCTTCAAAACAGCTTACTCCACCGTAAGGAATCAATCAATTATGAATTCAATGTAATCTATGTTTTACCAAAAAAAAACACACGGTATTTCATTTTAGTTTTTATTTGAATACAATATAAGGTTAAATTTTTAAAACTAACGTTAAATTCATAAAATGACATTCTTATTGGGAATAATACTTAAAACTATATATTATTATAAAACAGAGAATTATTTATATGAGATGTTCCAAAGATAAGCAGCCTTAATTAAAATAAAGTATGGGATCGTCCATCCATACATAGATTGACTTTAGCAAGTTGATAAAGAGAGATGGTCAGATCTCAAGGTGGAAACTGGTCCTGGAAAAGCCAGATTTGATCTGATGCTGTCTTTAACCCAAACTATTAAGTTTGATTTATGAAAATAATTACTTTAAAGTGATTATAGGTTAGGCTTTAGTTCTGTAAAAATGGGTGTTTGATTCCACTTTGAAGCCTCTTTCACCTTTGAGGCGTCATCAAGGGTCATGACCATCTTATATATTGATGCCCCAAATTAAACTATTATAATTGGTCTGTCGTTTGTGTTTCATAAAGTGATTTGTGTTTAACGTTGCAAAAGCGCATCTTTATCGTGTATAGCCTAAAGTCACGCCACCGTAAGGAAAAAGAGCCATTAAGAAACAAATAACAATTAACAATGAAAATCACAGAAAAACAATGTAAGCACATAATGTAATAATGACTTATGAGGACATGCAAATTCAAATCCTAGTTAATGGTAACCAGTGAAAACTCTTGTAGTTAAGTAATTTGATTAAGAGTTCATCAAATGTTTGTATATCAGAAAGTTTGAAGTTCAAGAACACAAAATCTAATGTATCATCATTATATAAAATGTAAAAGTAAACTTGTTTTTAACATAGTAGTATTGTGCAAGTAAAACCGCCCGTAATTTTTTTTTAATAAATAATAGAATTATCTTCTTGATTTATCAATTATAAATTCAGTTTTAGAATAATTCTCATAACTTGTAGAAAATAATGGTACATATATATTCATCAATAATTCTCATATAAACTGAAATCAACACTTAAACTGAAAATAGCCCTAAAACATCATAGCATTAGCAAACCAAAAACGTAAAATAAATAGTAGGAACCGAGCGAGACGGCGTCGCCATCAAAACCCAAAAAGAAGTTTTTTCTTTTCTTTCGTTTACACTTATTACTTTTGTGTTTTTTTTTTGTTCTCTAAAGAAAAGGATTATTTTTCTGAAAATTGAAAAAGAGAGAAGCTTTAAAAGGTTTCAACTCTCTTCATCCCCCCCACACCGTTGTTTGAGAGATTCTCCGCCTCAGCAAAAATATAAATATTCTCTTCAAAAAAACATCTCTTTCTCTCTGTTCCTTTCCTTTCAGAAGCTAAGCATCTCTTCTTTTCTTTTTCTTTATATTTTTTTAGCCCGATCTCTTCTGCAAATATTCCCTCTTTTCATATATGTTTTTATTCTTTAATAACAAATTAATGACATAACTTCATCTTCTTCTTCTTCTACCCTCTTCCTTCTCTTCTTTTCTTTGCTTCTTTCTAGGGCTGTCGTTTTCTCTTTACTCACACGTTTTCAAAGATATATAAACACGTGTGGGACATTCTTCACCCTCATATGGATTCTTCTTCATCGTCCTCTTCCTCTTCTTCATATGGTGTTGCTCATGTTAACCATATCTCAAATCCTTGTATCTTTGGTGCGTTCTCTTTTCTTTCCAAAATATTTGCCCATGCATCGTGTTTAGAAACTTGCTAATCTAATAACGTTTTTCATAACATAATAGGGGAATCTGGCTCATCATCTTCTTCAACATACAGAGATAAGAAATGGAACTTGATGAAATGGGTGAGTAAGCTTTTCAAGAGTGGCTCTAATGGTGGTAGTGCTGGTGGTGGTGCTCGCACTAATCATCATCCTCCTCAATTCCAAGAGGACGAGAATATGGTCTTTCCTCTACATCCTTCCTCTTTGGTAAATGTTTTCTTAATTATAAATTAATTACTAATGGTTAATTTAAATATTTTCGTTCATTTTTCTTTTTCCATTTAGACGTGCACATATACTATAGACACGTGATTTCTATTATTAAAGCAATACTCAAAAGACATGTGAATATTACTACTGTTTTTCCATTGTTTCTCATGTTATTGAAATATCACGGGTCTTGTAGTTGTGTACATTCTGTGATATTGTCACATCCATGGAACTAATAATTATTTGGTACATTGTTACCTAATTGTTGTCATGAGTCTCATTGGCTTTTAATGCTTAAACTGAGATGATGTTACAATGTGGTCTTGAGCACTAAGATTAAGGCCAACAAAGTTAGGTAGAAAGCGGTTCATATGTCGGTTCAATTAGGACAAAGAATATTAGTATTAGTAATAGTTGTGAATTAGTTTGATATAGGTATTAAAATTTAATTTCCTATTTTGTTATTTGTGTATAACTAGTATATTATTGTGGTATTTCATACTACTATATAAATTAGTATTTTAGTTTTATTCTTAAGTTAATATGAGCTACCTAGCTCAATGGGTTTAGGAATATAATTTTCAATCCATGAAATAATACTAAAATAAACACCCATTACATGATGGAAGAGTTGGATTTGATTAAGTGGCCTACTTTGATACCCATAAGCACTACTAACGATATTTAGTCACTAGAATCTCTAAAAGATGAAATCGATATATATGGTGGAATATTATTTTTCTTTCTAGTTTTTTATATATGTTAAACTTTTTCATCAAAATATTTTTTACCGCTGATGTCATGATAAACGAGTTATTTTTACCATTCTCAAAATTGAAATAGCACTGTCCAAATTTGTGACGTACAACCCATATAACTTTGTTACAAAAAGGTTAATTTACATTTTTTGGATGTTCGTGTTACGAACTGGTTACGAACCAGGACGATCGTTCGAGAGGTGCAAGGGACAAAGAAGAACTCGATCGTGCAATGTCACTTTCTTTAGCTGACGATACGAGGCGACCACATGGTATCTTGTGTCCACATTTCTAAAATATATATAATATTGGGATAGAGAAAACCATAGTTAGTTAAAAACAGCATTTCTGTAAACTAAAGATTGAATTATTTTACTTGGACAGGGTATGGTTGGTCTATGGATAACAATTCGGATTTTCCAAGGCCTTTTCACGGTGGATTCAATCCACCATCTTTCATTCCACCTTATGAACCTCCTTATCAATTCAGACGAAGACAAAGGTACAACAAAACACATTCTTGATTCAGTTTTATGTGATAATAACTTCAAACTGTTAAAAGATAGCTATGAAATGGTGTTTCTTAAGTTTTATGAACTTCTAACTCAAAACCATTTTTTTTTATATATTACTCATGTCACTAAATTCTCAAGTCCCGATGTGAGAGTTTATATTCGTATGTGCTTTATTTAGAGATAAAGTCTCGTCATTAGTCTCTACTAATCTGAATAGTATTTGCTCTATTTTTTAGCAGAATATGTGGCGGTTGTAATCGTGATATCGGAATGGGCAATTACCTAGGATGCATGGGAACATTCTTTCATCCTGAATGCTTCTGTTGCCATTCATGTCGTTACCCTATCACCGAGCATGAGGTATATTTAAATATAATCCACACTTAACATATAATACATATGAATATGATATACAGTTTTGTGTTTGAAGTGAGTACTAAGGTTGTATGTTATTGTCTTCTCGCTTGGTTCAAAGTTCTCTCTGTCAGGAACCAAACCATATCATAAGATTTGCTTCAAAGAGCTTACTCATCCTAAATGCGAAGTTTGTCACCATTTTGTAAGCAACTATACAACCACCACGTTACTAGATTCTTGCACGTCACATTTTAACATGTTGGACTAACTTCATCCTACTCTTCTTAGATCCCAACTAATGATGCTGGATTGATCGAGTATCGATGCCATCCGTTTTGGAATCAAAAGTATTGTCCATCTCATGAGTACGATAAAACGGCTCGTTGTTGTAGCTGTGAGCGTTTGGAGGTAAATAAATAGTAATAATGAAGCATCTCTTCTTGGTTATTGGTAAGTAATTATAACAACTCAATAACTTTTTTTTTTCTATGTTTGTGACGGTGAGTGAAGTCATGGGACGTGAGATATTACACGTTAGAAGATGGGAGAAGTTTATGTTTAGAATGCATGGAAACTGCGATAACCGACACTGGAGATTGTCAACCTCTTTACCACTCTATACGAGACTATTATGAAGGAATGTACATGAAACTTGAGCAACAGATTCCTATGCTTCTTGTTCAACGAGAAGCTCTCAATGATGCTATAGTCGGAGAGAAAAACGTAATCTATGATCTTAAGACTTATAACATAACACTTTCACGTTGAGTTTCTCTCAAATTGCATTTAATTTTTTTTTTTTTTTAACATAGGGATACCATCACATGCCAGAGACAAGGGGTTTATGTTTATCTGAAGAACAGACCGTCACAAGTGTAAGTCTTTTCAAGCTCTTGTAAGAATAGTTGACGTAATTTCTGATTCTAAATAGTAATTTACTCTGTTTTTTTCTTCATGTTTGGTTCTTAAAAGGTTCTTAAAAGACCGAGACTTGGTGCTCACCGTCTTGTTGGCATGAGAACTCAGCCAAGAAAGCTTACAAGAAAATGTGAAGTCACTGCGATCCTAGTTCTTTACGGCCTCCCAAGGTACTTATTACTTGCTCCGTTCTCAAATTTGCTTTTCGAACATTCCATGCACGATAAAGATGGCAAATGATTACTATCCTAATGATATGATGATTTGGTGGTTGAAGATTACTCACTGGAGCCATTCTCGCACACGAGCTGATGCATGGATGGCTAAGGCTCAATGGTACTTACTATACTCTCCATCAATTTCTTTTCTTAACCATTCGGTTTTAAATCTGATTGGTTTAGATGAAGGAACAATTTTTTAATTAATATTATTATTACGTATATGCTTCATATAATTGTAATATGTGATGAAATATTTTAATAATATGTTACATTTCATTATTTTACAATAGAGTTTATATTTTAGTCCTCTTTTTCGTTTTAATAAAGTAAACATTTTTCGGTTTGGATCCGATTCAAGCATTTGGAAACGTTTACTTGAATTTCTTGTTCAGTACTAATTTAGTACCAAGAAAAGAATCTTAACACGTTTTGATTTATTGATTTCATTAGGGTATAGGAACCTTAACTCTGAGGTAGAGGAAGGCATCTGCCAAGTCCTCTCATACATGTGGCTTGAATCTGAAGTTATCTCAGATCCTCATTCAAGAAACGTGCCCTCAACGTCATCATCAGGCGGCACTTCATCATTTTCTAACAAGAAAGGAGGGAAATCAAACGTGGAGAAGAAGCTTGGAGAGTTCTTTAAACATCAGATAGCACATGATGCGTCTCCAGCTTATGGAGGAGGTTTCAGAGCAGCAAACGCAGCGGTTTGCAAGTACGGTCTGCATCGTACACTCGATCATATCCGCTACACTGGAACTTTTCCTTTGTAAACTTACCAGTGATGTTCTTCACAATGTTTGATGCTCTGTTTCTTCTATCTTACTATATGGTCTTTGATTTGGATTGGATGGATCACACAAAGGGTTTGTTTTAAACTTTCTATAGAATTTCGGAACTGACTTTGTCTCCCCTTGGATTTTGAATCGGAGGATTTGTTGTGTGGAGGTGTTATATGAATATTACTAATAACAAAAAAAAAAAAAATCTATTAGTTTTCTAAAAGTAATTTATGTTGAGGCAAATTAATAATATTGTTGTTGTAATTTAAAACATGCTTATCAGCTGCCGAATGATGTTCATCCTCATCCTCATCATGTGACGCCTCCTCATGAGTTCGAGGGATTAAACCAGCTTCCACACACTCATAATAGAGACGAAGCCGAAGTCTATCCCCAGTCCTTGGCAATAAACTTCTACAAATTGGACAAACATCAGACCTCTGACAACACTCTGTGCACAAGGAAGCATGTCCACATGGGATCAACACATAGCTCACATATCTCCCACAGCTCGCCAAGTCCCTAGTTGCACAACAACGCTCAACCTTGGCCTCGTTACACAACTCTCTAAGGTTGATAGATGCCAAATGCATCAACGCCTTCTGTAGAAAATATGGGCCTTCATTTGCATGCACGTGGATTCTCTTTTCCCGATGCTTTTGAGCGGGTCGAGTCTGTTCGAGTTAAAAGTTTTAATGGGCCGTGTAATTATATGGGCTAAGTCAGGTGTAAACACTACGTGTGCTCACATGCCCTCGCGTGGATCTTTTGTTTCTCGGTTTCCTTCTTCTTTATGAAAGAAAAAAAGAAAGAATGTCATTACTAGAGAATGTCATTAACAAATGATTACTTTGATCATTAATAAAGTTATTTTCGTGGAAAAAAACACCAAGTAGAGAAGAAGCAACTAAGCAACATATACATTGAACTCAATCATTCGGATCCGTTTTTACTGGTTTATCTTCCTGTTTGCTTGTAACATATTATTTAGTCAGTGGATTGTTTTAGGCTTGTGTGTGTGTTTTTTTGGTTTGGAATTGTTTAGGCTTTTGTGTTGAGAATCTTATGTTGAGAGCTTCTTATTGAAAGTGGTATATCCACATCTTTTTTCTCATAATTTTATAATCTATTTGTAAAATATCAGGATCATAAAATTTAAAAGATAAATTTATGTAACTTTATTAAGAATCCCAAATGTAAGCCAAAAAAAAAAAAAACTTTAATAAGAATTTCTTTTGATCATCTTATTTTTTTTTTAAAGTATCGTTATGCCTAACACTATTTAGATTATTGCAGTCCACGTTTTTCTTTAGTAAAACAACAATGACTCCTCAAGAAGCATATTGTTATTTGGATTATGAGTCTACTTCGTCCTCTTTAGCGTTCGGTTTGCTTACGTAATTACTTGTTGGTTTTGACATCTCGAACACAATGAAGGATTAACGATTTATATTTCTCCAGCTCACCCCTCTCCCCGGAACCAAAAGTAAACTATACTAATATAATATTTTAGATTTGTATAAAAAAGGAATAATATCAATTCTACGAATTAACAACCAAATATATCAGTGTCTCTATCAGATTTTGATTAATTAACTTGTTTATAACTAAATTATTATACGATAGTGATTCCTTTAACTGTTCTTCCTCTATCTGCGTCTTATCACCACATACAAACTTTTGAAAAAACCAAAACATATGTCGGCCAAATCCATTGGCGAAAAGGTCGTAGATACCAAGAATCTGTGTAGTTTCTGTTTGGAAAGAAAGTGGATATACCTTTTCTTATTGTTTGCATGATCGCTCTCGGACACAAATCAAACAAAAGCAGTAAAAGAAAATCTCACACAAACTTTTTTGGTTCACACGTAACTTAGTTTTGATTAGCTTTATTAGTGCAACTGGAGTCGAGAGAAGCACTTACTGCTAGCCCTCGATTTTTTCTTCAGTTTTTAATAAAATGACAGATATAAATATTACCAAGATAAATTACTTGTTTTTTGGAAATAGTCTCTTTGAACGTGACTGCACTAAAAAAATTTGGACGCTCGTGACTCGTGACGGCTTTACATTGGCTGTGAATTATAATGATTAATGCTGCTACCCCAATTGCATTTGTCCAAGTGTAGCATGTTCTGTAAGACGTTTATATGCTCGATCACCTTATCTTATTCCTCTCTTCTTCTTTTTTCTTCTGTTGTTCGAAGGAAATTATCTTATCTATCTAATATGAGTAATATCTATAAGATATGTATTTTTGTTTTGGCCAGTCGATGGCCATAAAACATTAAAATTTACATTTAAAAGCAATATTAAATAGTCGTGATACATAAGTCTTTTTGTAACAGTGAAAGTAAGGGTTAAGCCGTTTAGGTTTGTGCATCTCTCTGGTTCCGTAAAAGTCAACGTAATATTTTTAACATCGAATTTTCCAAGTAATAAAACTAACCACTTTCGGGTTGGTCTACCTTATTCACTGTATAGTAAGATGTATTGATTTGTAACCATATAGTTTCTTACTAATTGGTTAGGATTCTCGTGTCCACAAATTCTAGCTTCAAATGGCATGTGAAATTTGACGGTTCTTCCTTTATTATCTATTTATTTCATGGAGTATCTGTTTTATTTTGGTATATCCACATATTTATATACATATGCGACAACTGGTGTAGAGAAACCGTTGATTTTAAGCGTTATATGATCATACGCTAAAAGCTGGGAGATATATGTGACGAAACTTTGAAGAATATATGAATAATTGACAAGTGGTTGGACCCATTTTGAAAGACCCTTCTTATATAAATCATAAATTTGGCTATTATTGCTATAAGAGATGATGTGAGACAAAATTGACCAGTTGCTTGTATATGAAACGATTCGATTTACACTTAATATTTCTACTATAAATCGAGGACACATACCTCCATTTTTGTGTGTGTGTGTTTTAGTTAATATTATTACGTAGTATATATATCACATATAATCGTTAAACGTTGTCGAAAAAAAAAAATCGTTAAACTTCAGTTTTATCCATAATTAAAATTTCTGTAATTGATCTTTCTATCACAATCTTGTTTGTTTGTTAAGTTTCTATCTACCACAAACTTTACATTGCTACGTTATCTTTGTTATTATTTTGGGGGTGGTAGCGTGAGCCTCTAGCTTTAGTTACTACGCAGAGCCGTGAAGTTTGTTTTTTGGGTAAATACCGAGTCTTCAAGTTTGGAACCTGTCTATCTATATAGCTCCATGTCCGACTTCCTACATGTGCCCCAACTAGATACGTGTCCTAGTTTTACAAGTGTGCTTACTTAATTTCTCTCGTGTTTTAAACCCATAGAGGTCAAATGAAATTGGATTGTACCCACAAAAAGATTGTAGCCATATATTCTTGTCATGCCAATGTCCTTCTCTTTTTAGAGGTTATCCTAGTAACTTACAAGAATATGCGGTTTCTCAACCCTGACTATTTTGGACGAGATTCATTTGAACATCACCCGTGATAATATTTAAAAAATTTGAACAGAACCCATAAGATTTTTGAGGCGATATAACGCCGTGTTCGAATATGACTATGTTCAGTTTATGTATGTGTTGTATATATTATCAATGGTCGATATGGGTCGTAAAGATAAAGGTCCACTACTAATATGTGTGCTTCTTTTGTATTGACGCCATCATTTACCGGTCTGGATTTCATTCTCAGCCTACTATATAGTATATAATAATGGAAAACACATACGTGGATTAATTCATGCAATAAAGAAAAAATGTAGTACTATTTATTAGACATTAACATCACTTCTTATCATTTACCCGAAATGCTAAGAAATAAAAGTTCCACTTCCGACCATTTTGAAACTTATTTGTCCACGTAATTATGCAAAACTACCTAAGGCTTTTCTATCTATCATCACTCACACAGTTAAACCATCTCCAATGAAGGGTTTAAGAACCGATTTTAGCCTTTTTTTTAATTAAAAATTAAAAACGAATTTTTATATTCCGCTAAAAATCTACCGTAAAAACTCTCATTAGATGTGCGATTACATAAAAACAACCAATATCACAGAACATAACCTACCCGTTCTTTTTTCTAATGAAAGAGCATGCGTTTACGAATCATGCTTCTCCAATATAAAATGTATCTCTCACTTACTACTCCATCGTCATTTTGTACACCTAAAAATCAAAATCGCATCTTTCTTTTACAGTGTTAAATGCTTATATACACATGTGCTGCTGCTGCTGTGTATGCATACTTGAGTCTAAATGTGAATGTCTATATAATATCCCTGAAAATGATATGTCGTTGGTTACAAATGAGATAATTAGTTCAAATAACATACTAAAATTAAAACACAGAAAAATACAAATGAAATCTTATTACTTGAATAAAATATTGGAGTTGGTGGACCTAAATGTTAAGAAGAGTGCACATGCACATATGACCAATGATTCCCCACAAACAATCAGACATCTGAGACCCTAATCGCATCAAACCACGTGCCTTCTTCCGTTACTTTTGTTATATTTGTTTCGTATTCTCCATTAACGAGAAACCTAACGATCGACTGTAAAAACTCATAAATTGAAAGAAATTAGTAAAAAGTGAGAGGGAAATTCAATTCGTTAAGATAAGGGTTGGAACTTGGAACAATTTGTTTTGAGCCTTTGACCAAACCTCATGCACTATTCATTGCGTTAAATAAGTTTGTTAAATTCATTCACATTATGTTAGAAAATGTGAGAATTTGTTTCCCACACATTTATTGAAAGCTCAATCACCAATTAACTATTTCAGTCTCATGTGCATGGTTTCAAGTTAATTCTTGGATTTCTCATGCATTGTTTTAGCCCATCAAATGCTATACTGCAAATCACAGATGTAATTTAAACAGTAGTTTTATATTTATGAATTAATTTTATTTAAATTAACCGGTGTGCTACATCGGAACCATATTGTTTTATTTCCAGTCATAACATTTAAA